GGCCTTTAATTTTCCAGATTAACGTCAATTTTTTTTTCATCAAGCCTTCATCGTCTAGAGTCCAGTGGTGAATATTTTGGACGATTTTTGTTTGATCTGCATCTCTTTCGCAAAAGAATGCGGTTTTTATTTCTAAAAATCGTAAACGTTGCTTGTCTGGGAAATTTTTCCAAAATCACTTCTGATTTGAAGCGCTCCGTGTAGGAATAGTTATTTCGAGGTCTCGAAAAAAATTTCAACTGGAAACAAGCAAATTGACCAGCTTCTCGTCGTCAAATATTGTTGCAATATTTTATTCTTTGTAAAGTTTCCGGTATGTATTAAGTCATTTTCTCTCTTCCGTTGACCAGATCAAGTTTGAGATCCGGAGGTTATTTTGTAGCTTATGATGATGCCAAGTACGATTTATTAAAATATTTTTTTATACTTTTTTTGCAATCCCAAGAGTGTCTTCGTACATGGTAAACACGGACATTCAACTTTTGGATCAATTATACATAACCAACACTTTGTACTTTGACACCTATCACAATTTTAAGGCATTCATACCAGTTTTACCATTAGGCAATTTGTTGAAAGAAAATTAAATTTTTTTCAGTAAATACCCAAGCCATGCGGGTTTAAGTCTGTCAAAATGACTAACCAGTAATATTTAACCTTAATTGCTTTTAAAACTCTATGTATTTTGCATTTTATTTTAGTGGATAAATTATTGCTAAACATTTTGTCGTCGTGTAGGGCGGAGCTAATTTTTTGAAAACTAATTAGAAATCCTTAAGGGCTCAATACACTTGACGTCCTAGGATTTGTCCCGGTTGACCTCTCCAAATTCGGGGTCTGATCAGCAAAAATCTACACTCTGCTACAAAATTCAAAAATTTAACTAGACAAAAAGTTAAGGTCCGCTCATGTTACGTATGTGAAAATATATCATTTTTGGGACCGATAAAGTGGCACGCCGACAGGGCCGACATCATACATTTAAAAATGTGGTAAAGTCATATACAAATCTGTGTAGGAATAGCTTCTTCCTGGATTTGTGGTAGATTTTGTGTACTTTTATTTGTATTGTAAATACATATACTTCAGGCTTCTGGTTTTCAACTTTAAATTCTCAATTGTTTTAAAATACCAATCAGATATGATATTGTTGTGTTATGTACATATGTCCTTGGTCAAAAGCGATCTGATCTACTCGGCTAAAATAGTATTAAAGCAATCAGGGATAGAAATAAAACAATGGTATTTATTAATTAGATGTATGTACATGTTAACATATATGTCAATTTACATATGCAAGTTAATTTTATTTAGATATATATAGATTTTGAAATATTGAACGCAAGAAACCAGTAATGTGGGATCTGCTCGAGATTTCCACTGGGATCACGACCTAACTAACTACCCGTTAATTAGCGATCACCGATTTTGACTGTGTCGGGCAAGAACTATAAAGATGATGACTTTAGTATATCAATTCCTCTAAAATAAAGTCACTCTAGCTGTACTGAAGCTTAACTGACAATTAACTTTATTTAGATATCAATTTGGAATTAATAATACTTTAACAATTAAAATAATTGTCAATGTCGACCGACTAAATTCTCGGACAAACACAAAGACAATCACACATGACGCTCATTTTCATACTCTCCCTCTGCGCGTCTCACTCACCCCTAAATTACCATTGGACTAAGAATCTTTCATAAATACATACATACAAGAATATACCAATGGATTTGACAAGTAAGTTATAATTTTTGGTCAGAGCTTACTAAGTTTCTATGACTCGTTGTAAATAAACTTGAACTCCGGCCCAGACCTTTGAAAAAATTTTTAATGAATTTTCATTTCAAGACGTTTTAATATTTTGAAATATTCGAAATTAAGTAATTTTCATATATACTCACGAAATTAATTAAAATCGAGGCTTGATTTAATGACAAATTATTTATGATTGATAAATTAAAAAGGGTGAACTTCGTCACTATAAAAGTGACTTGATTTGATAAAAAAATTACCTCACCTTTTACTAATCTAGACTTTACAAATAGTCTAAGTTAGTTATTAGGGGAAAGCTATTATATTAAAATTATTTAAATTTCTTAGTTTGGTTTCTCAGAAATTAAAAGTTCGTGTCTCGTCGTTGTGAACATTCGACGTTAATAAATTGAACTCCCCTCACTTTTTTAGTGGAAGCGTGAGACCTGATCTAGTCTAGTCTTTGTTGTAATGCACAATGGGAAATCCGTCCAAATTATCGCTCAAAATCCTAGGAGCACTTTTGCATTATCCGAGCTCTGAGGGGTCGAAGAACTGCTCATAAAAAGTTCGACGAACCACACCCACTTTAGGTGTGATTTTTTCCTAGTGGGGTTAGAGTCAATCGCCGTATTTAAAACTGTAGTCCATGAGATTAACTATTAAATTAATACTTTGGTTAATTTTTTAATTAGCATTTATATCATGATTGATTATAAAAGTATGGGCGTATTGATAATAGTTTAGTTGTTACAAATACATATTTCCCTCGTCAGTGTTGCGTAATTAATTAAATAGATAATGAAATTAACCGCAGATTATAAGTCATACAGTGTTTTAATTATTTTTCATACTTTTTATTTGCATGGGAAAATTGAATTTTCAAATTCATGCTAAATTCATACACAACGCCACATTTGTAAGCAGCACAGATTTTCGAAATCATAATTTATGATTCATAAATATTAATAAAACCAACTGAACTTTTCCTCCCTAGTGTAATTATGTACAGGTGGTTTAAGTGTCAAGCTACAATGGGAAAAATTCGTAGACTTCCATAAATAGTTATAGAAATTTTGTCTCCGAAATAAATTCAATGAATTTTCTGATTTGGACAAAAGTTGAGACGTGAACGAACAGCCGCGAGTATGGAACGCATCACAAATCAGCCGGTGGAATTTCATATTATTAGTGTGAAGTTGGCCTCTCCTTTTTATTTTTTTTATTTTGGCCGAAGTTAGCCGGCTAAGCCGAATTTATCCGAAAACTTGGCCTCCCCGCCCATAACTCCCGCCTCTGTGGGGGCAACGTGAGATTCCCTCCCACAGCTCCAGAACTGTTGCAATTCAAACATATGGCCTTCCCGCCTCATTTTAAGGGGCAACTTGAGACTCTGGTTCATTTGGCTATTATCTAGTACATTAAGTATTATGAATACGTAATCAATACTTTGAAGGTTCTAGAACACGATACTCAACTTGTGAATCCAGGATGAAACCTTTATATGCACATACATGCACACGTGCATACACTAATTTAATATTTAATTTAATTTAATTAAATTACTAATTTAATTTAATTACAATAATCCGCGTTAAGTTGGGCATATGCAAATATAATATATACAAAATTCACGATTTTCGGAATTTATTTTCTCTAAAAGGGCGTCTAGGTTTTGGACCGGAGAGGGCTTATTTTGAAGCTGGAACATTGCTCTACAAAACCTATATGGCGGCTGGTCATGCACCTCTAAGATAACCACGAAATACCCGGGTAATATTGGGTAAATAGGCATTTGACATATTAAAATTTCCGAATTTTCGGAATTTATTTCTCGAAAACCGCGCCTAGGTTTTTGACCGGACCGGCCGTATTTTGAAGCCAGACCAGTTCTCTACAAAACGTATATAGTGGCTGGTCATGCACCTCTAAGATAACCGCGAAATACCCGGGTAAAACTGGGTAAATAGGCATTTGACATATTAAAATTTCCGAATTTTCGGAATTTATTTCTCGAAAACCGCGCCTAGGTTTTTGACCGGACCGGCCGTATTTTGAAGCCAGACCAGTTCTCTACAAAACGTATATAGTGGCTGGTCATGCACCTCTAAGATAACCGCGAAATACCCGGGTAAATTTGGGTATATATGCATATGATGTATCTAAATTCCCCGATTTTCGGAATTTATTTTCTCGAAAACGGCGTCTAGCTTTTTGGCCGGATAGGGCTTATTTTGAAGCTGAGACAGTACTCTATCAAACGTATATAGTGGCTGGTCATGCACCACGAAGATAACCGCCAAATACCCGGGTAAATTTGGGTATATATACATATGGGATATTAAAATTCCCCGATTTTCGGAATTTATTTTCTCAAAAACGGCGTCTAGCTTTTTGACCGGCCAGGGCCTATTTTGAAGCTGAGACAGTACTCTATCAAACGTATATAGTGGCTGGTCATGCACCACGAAGATAACCGCCAAATACCCGGGTAAATTTGGGTATATATGCATATGATGTATCTAAATTCCCCGATTTTCGGAATTTATTTTCTCGAAAACGGCGCCTAGGTTTTTGACCGGACCGGCCGTATTTTGAAGCCAGACCAGTTCTCTACAAAACGTATATAGTGGCTGGTCATGCTACCCGGGTATTTCGCGTTTATCTTAGAGGTGCATGACCAGCCACTATATACGTTTTGTAGAGAACTGGTCTGGCTTCAAAATACGGCCGGTCCGGTCCAAAACCTAGACGCCCTTTTAGAGAAAATAAATTCCGAAAATCGTGAATTTTGTATATATTATATTTGCATATGCCCAACTTAACGCGGATTATTGTAATTAAATTAAATTAGTAATTTAATTAAATTAAATTAAATATTAAATTAGTGTATGCACGTGTGCATGTATGTGCATATAAAGGTTTCATCCTGGATTCACAAGTTGAGTATCGTGTTCTAGAACCTTCAAAGTATTGATTACGTATTCATAATACTTAATGTACTAGATAATAGCCAAATGAACCAGAGTCTCAAGTTGCCCCTTAAAATGAGGCGGGAAGGCCATATGTTTGAATTGCAACAGTTCTGGAGCTGTGGGAGGGAATCTCACGTTGCCCCCACAGAGGCGGGAGTTATGGGCGGGGAGGCCAAGTTTTCGGATAAATTCGGCTTAGCCGGCTAACTTCGGCCAAAATAAAAAAAATAAAAAGGAGAGGCCAACTTCACACTAATTTTCATATTTCGTCATATTTTTCGTCTCCGTGTTAAATAAATGTTTCCATGTTTGAATTTAATACGCTGATTATTCATCACAAACTAGGTTCCCACTTATCTATTCATTAAAAAAGGTGAGAAAACTTATTTTGTACGGGATAAAATATAAAATTGCTTACCTGACTTCGGTTAAATTAAATTAATATATCTGTGCCGGGTATTTTATTTCTTTTAATATTTAATACTAACTTATCAAATGATAAGTAATGTAATGTTACATTACAGGGGGTTATCCAATATTCACGAATGCTAACTACCCGAGTGTAAAGTTTGCAAATCTAGTCGCGTTGAATATTTTTAAACTTTCTTGAAACTTGAAAGTAAATCTTACAATATAAAGTTTATCCTTCAAATCATTTTAAATTTTAATTGTGCATTAATTAAATTTAATTAATTAAAGAAGCAATATTCTCCCCATTTTTCTAGGTAAGACCTTTCGACTCGGAGAGTAAATTCCGAAATACTTGAGATTCCTCAAATCAAATAAAGGTTTAAAAAAAATACAGAAATTCGCTTGAAAAAATTGATTTATTTATTAGACATTCTAATTTAATTTTTAATAGGAATTTCTTCATTACTTTAATTTTTAGGGGAAAATGCAGCAAGGTTCCGCACAAGACGTGAAACGAATTGAACGAACCGGAAGCTACCCAAAAGTCGGAGAAGGAAGCAAATCGAGCCAACTTTCAAACCTTTATAAATTTGCGGCAAGATTTTCGAACTGTTTTCGCTTCCCGTGTTCTCCAACCGGTCGATGTCGCCCCCCGAATTGACGCCATGGTCACGGCAGCGACAAGGGCAATCTTTGACGACAAAAAGGGACGGTATATGGGCTCGATTATAGGCGAACTTGTCCGAGGGGGTAAAGAAAAGCCGTTCAGTACGGCGGAGGCGCTGGCTTTCATCTGGGTCTATGTCGGCACGGCGGAGGCAGAGGCGATGAAAAATGGACCGATTGATCCCCCCACGTGCTCGACCACAAATTAGGGCACTTATTTAAACGAGCCGTCTCCCACGATAAGGAAAAGGTAAAAAGCAAGTTTATTATTTCTTGTATTTCAAAATTATGAAATTGTACTTCCGATAATTTTTGTGATCCATCCCTTTTTCTTGAAGAACATGACATGGTCGCCCATTTGTGGAGGAAAGTGCGACAATGTCATCTCCCGTCGGCAGAGTTCCATTTACACCAGAGAATTTTGAGGAGAGCTTATAGTCCGGTGGATTTGGACAAGGTGCCGGCTCTGGAGGCAGGAATGGGACAGCTTTTTGAAGAGATGTCACTTTATGACGACAACGTGGAGGAAGACACGTCTTTCTTGAGGAAGAAATTGCGACACCAAAAAATTAGCCAGCAATTGGACAAAGAGCTTACTCCAAAGGCGATTATGCAACCATCCTCATCATCAAATCTTTGCTGTTGTGTCGATTCTCAAGAAAACGTTGCCCCCGGAAAAGAATCTACTCCAAAGAGTGATGCGGACAAATCAATCCAGCCGGGAAACATTGAAACGGCGTCGACATCGAAATCACCTCCTTCAGATGGTGTCCAGCAACCATCGAACAATCTTGCTGCCAATGCCCCCAAGAATAAATCGGATTATTATTTTCGTCTCTTCCTCACAAATCCGGGTGAGTACATCCGACAAAATCCGACCTTGTTTCCACCCAGTGATGCCGCTTGGTCAGCCAGAAAATTACTTCCGGATCAAGCGACGAAATCAAATCCTGTGGATGATGATGACCCGATTTCGGAAGTCGCTCAAACTCCGGCCGACTGTACGGAAACTCTGCTGAGTGTGGATTTTACGCCGGACGAGTACATCGCCCAGCTCAAGGCATCCAATTATTATGCTCATGGCGTTAGAATTGTCGATGGGGAGAGACGACTCGTCGTCTATCATAAGATGGTTAATCCCTCGGGCATTAAGAAAGAACCGATTTAAATTAATGATGCTGCAATGATTGTCACTGATGTGATGTGATGGTCAATTTTTATTTTTCACTTAATAAGTAAGTAATTATGATACATGATTTAATAATAAACATTAAGCAAACGTGTGTAAAGAAATATTTAAATGCGTTTGTTATTAATAAGGTAATCGAAGGGATGAGAGAGAAAGTGAAGGGTCGTGAAGTTGAGCATTAAGAGCAATTTAAATTAATGTAAAATCACGAGTCGTGATTCATGAGCAGTAAGTATGTATGTCTGTAAATGTGATGGTCAATTTATGCGTTACTTAAAGTATTTGTGAATTTTATATCAATAGGTTAATTAATAACTATTTAATTACGATGTATGATTAATACTAAAGATTAAACAAAGTGGGTCTAATTTTAATGCACATACCTTAATTTTAATGTTAATTTTAATATGACAGGTCTTTAATAGGTTAAGGAGTGTATTGCGTCCAAACTGTCAATAATAGTACGCTTATGCTTATGCTAAAAACTTAATCAATCGGTTCAATTTCGATGGACAAACAATTTATTTTCCATTGTTCTTTTACATATTTATTATAATACAAAACAATTTTAACAAATTATAAACAAGGTTCTGCAGATGGTAAACTTTTTAGGCCCCAAAATACCAAGGGATTTCACATATTTAACAAAAATCTATACATAAAACTTATATCGTTAATTAATACATAAAACAAGTCCTTCGTTGTGATGAATTTACTCTGACAAAGTAATCGGGAGACGGTTAGCTTCAATAAATCCTTGAAATTTATCCTTCCCCTTGATCTAGATTTGAAAAAGAAAAAAACGCAAAATTAAGTCTCCAACTGTGTTCGATTTCTATTGTTTTACTGAAAAACGGGGACAAAGTCCTGGAAAATTCAAATTCCCACGCCCAGTAAAAAAAGGACCCTACAAAAAGGGGTATCGCCCCCCGCAAACGCGGTTCAACGCTTGCACCTCGAATCGAACCCACGCCAAATTATTTATCAATCTTACCACAAATCCCGACATTTGCACCAATTTCACCTCCTTACAGGCCAAAAGAACCGCTTTTACGGCATCCCCCGGAATAAAAATTGTCCCAGCTGCAGCGCAAAGTCGAACCTCGGTATGTGCTAAACCTAAACAAGTTTACAAACTTAAAATTAGCAATCAAGTAGAAAGGCAATTCATCCAGGAATTTGTAACTGGTAAAATACGTGCGTTTAGTACAATAATTTTACTTTACACATTTTTTAAAAAGAAAACAGACGCCCTGGAGCTGAGTACAAAGCTAATTTACCTCAGAAATATTTGTAAAACTTTGCAAAAGCTTGTAAATTTACAGAATTCACTTCACAGATTTTACAATGTTTCCAAGGACTGCGTGAATTCTCTCCGAATATTCAAAATTCAAACCACAATTCATACCCTTCCATCCCATCAAACCCTTCATCGTGGCCAACACATCTCCCGAACTTTCCAAATTCTTCATCTCCACCAAAGCCGAGGTCACCTCCCAAGGGGCAAAGTTTCGCAGGGTGTCCGTCACGCCGGAATCCATGTCGTCGTCGTCATCGTCGTCCTCACTCTGCAGGTTGGTCAGCTGTAACTGGAATTTCGCCACGGCGGGGAAAAGTCGGACGATCTCGGCCGCCGTGGTGACCTTGTCCTCATCCCCGTCATACATGGCGGATAGATCGAGCGACGTGACTCCGACGTGAGGTTGGCGGAAGTGTTCAAATATGTCGGATAACGTGATATACTGTTTGTTGGAGGGGACGAGAGTGACGTGGGTCAGATTTGGGAGGTTCGTCTCCTGCAGGCAGTCACCTAAGCGGTAAGCTTCCATGGCAGAGAGGGACAATCGGGTCAAGCTTGGGAGCGATGGGAGCGATAAGATCTGCAATAAAGATGATAAATTATAAGGAACCCTTAATCTTGCAAAGATTGACTGATTTGTAAAAGTAATTAGGTATTTGCCCACTAAGAAAAAGGGCTTGTCGAAAAATTATAAACCCTAATAATATTTAGGTTAGATTCGACTCGATTGGAATTTAGTTAGTTTGGATACTGTAATTTAAATTTTCCTAAACCAGTTAAAATTAAAGAACCCGATTTTCACATCCTGTTTTTTTCTTAAATTCCTATGTTGTTTTTCTGAAGTATTACAAGCTATGTTTTCCCGTGTAAACGAAGCGAAAAGTGTCAAAACAATACTAAATGATCCCTCACTTTAAAAATAATTTGAACAGTACATAAATGCACTTCGAAATAAACTACACAAAATCAAGAGCAAACTTTCCTCTGGATTTGGTAACGTTTACTTAATTTAGAATTAAGAGGAAGAGGGCCTTATGGGGGTGTGAGTGTGTGGGATGATGTGGGTGATGTGGGTGTGATATCCCCATAGCGAAGCTCTCCAAAACCCACTAAAAATAAATAAATCATTTTTCTTTCTCCCTTCTTTCTGTTTTTTTTGTCATAAACAAAATCCGGGTTTTCTAAAAGTCTAATCCATCTAACCTATAAGTATTTTCGCCCTACCTCTGGTATGTCGCCGTCGTCGTCTTCCTCGTCGCCATTAAGCTCTGCCACATGGGAGAGCTTTAATTCAGCCAAAGATTCCCCACAACAAGTCGCCAACATTTCCGTCACTCGATCCATATCCATAAAACTGACGGGCTCATCTGTCTCAACATCCAAGAATTTCACGAATGTGTACGAAAACTTGGCCAGTTTCTTGGAGGAGCTAAAATCCAGGTAGAAACTCGCCTTCAACTCCACCTCCGCCACGTTGGGGGCAGCATTGAGCAGTTTTTGACAAATGGAGGCTGCCATATCGTCCTGGTCGGGGAGGTACTGGTCCGCCATCGTAAACGAGATCTCCTTAACGTTTTCCATCTTTGGATACGTCTCCGTCACAATAGTGAATTCATTTTCGTCATACGAGGCGCAAATGATGATGGAAATTTTCGTCAAGTTCTGGAAACGGTAACGACGTGCTTGCCAAACTTTGTGCAGACCGGGTAAAAATGAAGAGTTAATCTTGACCTGAAAAAGATATTATAAATTATTCACTATTCCTTGACATGCAACTTGCGCCATAGTTAAAAAATAATAATACTGGCGTAAGTTAGAAGTATAAACAAACCCACCTCAAATTCCTCCACGTGGCGTGCAAACTTGGGCAGGGTTTTGACAAAGTTTTCCGGTAAGTCTTCGGACCAATCACAGGGGCACGTGGATGCCGCAAGTTTGACCTTCTTGGCCAATTTTGGGTGAAACTTGGCCAGTCCGATAATTTCTGAGGTTGACATGCCGCATTGTGCGTCTTCCGAGAACGTCACTGTGGTCTTACCCCCGAGAAAGGGGGCGCCAAGGTCGGCCCACAGGGTACAGACGGGTCGGACAGATTTCTTCAGGGTGGGGGCGTCCAAATAAGAGAAGATCACGTTCAGTAACTGCGGGAGATGGCGATATTAATTAAGTATGTAGTTCATTTAGTAATAAATATTTAACTAGGATTTATTTATTTACCAGTGGATTCATCAGAGCACTGGGGGCGACATCCATTTCGTCCATTTCTTGGGTGGATAAGGCACTCTTCTCAGCCTGCATTGCGTCACCCTGCAAAATTTGGGAACAAATTAATGTTTTTCATTATCCTTATGAAGATTGTCTTTGAATTTTGAAGTTCAACCAAAAAAAAGTTGAGCTTGTTTAACATATGTGTAGTAATTAAATTGTGGCAACTTTTTAAAGCACCTGGTTTGATAAATTCTTCTCACCTTTCAGCAATTTTTACTTGGTGTTGAAATTATATAAATTTCTTAATTCAGCTCTTCAGAAATTAAAAGTTCGTGTCCCGTCGCTATGAACATGTGGCGAGTAAACATTCGTCGTCGTGGACAAATTGGACTCGCCGCATGTTTTAAGGGAAATGTGAGACAATGATGAGACGATTCTTTATAGTAAAGAATCTATGTCGATGAGATGAGGCTTATCTCTCCTCATTTATCGAGCGAGTGTAACTAGTGCACAGTAAAAATCACTGTGAGACAGAGAAATACAAACTTTGGCCTCTTTCAGCATGTTCTGAGAATCATTAAAAAGTGGGAAATTTTCCGTCCCACAGAGATTTTTACTTTGCAATACGCCTGATAACAAATCCATTCCTTGCCTTCCTCCTCAAAATTAACAGGGGTGGGCAAGATACTTGGTCAAGATACAAGATACAAGATACAAGATACAAGATAGTATCTTTATCTTGTATCTTCGTCGCCTGATCAGAGAAGTATCTTGTATCTTCTATCTTTTAGAAAGTCGAAAGTATCTTGTGTAAGTATCTTATCTAGATATGCATGGCAGAAAAGTATCTTAAGATACTTTTGACAAGATACAAGATACTTTTTCTCAAAATTCCGTCAAATTACGTCAATTTCTTACTAAAGTCAGTCAATTTGACCATGAATTTGGTGAATTTTTAGTTTATGTTTTGCCAATTCGTAACAAACTTGTACATATATGCACATATATATATATATATGTACATGTGTACTCGTACATACATACTGATACATACGTTGCACATTACATCTACGCTGAACTAATGTATAGATCTTATAGGGTTTAGTTTGAATAAGCAGGGAATATTGTAAAAATAATACCAGCTTCTTAAGAATATACGTATGCTAGGTAGAGTTCTAGTTTTTCGAAATTTAGACCTATTTCGATGTATAAGCACTGGCAACAAAATTTGTAAAATGATTCTAGAATGATTTTAAATTTTGTACTCACTAGATTTTTTCGGTTAAATGATTAAACATGACTAATTGGGCATGAATACCAAGCTAAAAAAGAAAGTATCTTATCTAGTATAAAAGTATCTTAAGATACATATCTTGTATCTTGTATCTTGACTACTCAATTTTTAGAAAAGTATCTTGTATCTTGTATCTTGTGTACTTAAACAAGATGTATCTTTTATCTTGTATCTTATATCTTGTCTTAGAGAGTATCTTATCTTGTATCTTGTATCTTACGACCAAAGTATCTTGCCCACCCCTGAAAATTAATGTGAATACTAAACATTCGCGGACAGTTGAACTTTTACAGAAATTGAGAATTCTCAGAAACTACGCCACTGCCAGTCTCAAATTGCCTCAAGTTATACGAACCGGAGACTTGTAGACTGGCAGTGGCGTAGTTTCTGAGAATTCTCAATTTCTGTAAAAGTTCAACTGTCCGCGAATGGAGAGTATGCATCAGAGTTTGTTGGTGATTAAATGTTTTTTTGTTCCGGATTATGGATTAAGGATTAGTTTCTACCCATTGTTGGATTAGGGCTAGAATTTTTGGGATTAGATTTTTAAGGATTTTCTTGAAGAACAGCTTGGATTACGGATTAGGATTAAATTGTCCGGATCTTTCCAACTATCTTACCAGAACTGATTTTTTGTATGAGTACATATTTACCCAGCGGATATATAAACTTGGAAAACTTCGTCCACATGTTAATAGCGAACATTCCGGTTCAGTTATTTTGTAGAAATGAAAGAATTACCACTCAGAAGCTAACAACTACCAATCCGGTAGGAATTTATTACCCAATCAATACCAGCATATATGAAACTCTACACCATTGTTAACAGGGTATTAATAGCGTCGATTATCCTAAGTAATCTAAATACTATGAATTCAAGAAACAGTAAAACTGTACAAAATAGTAAACAAATTCCACAAATATAAAATGCGGTCGTTATCTTCGAATTGAAATCCAATTGTGATACGGCATCAAATCTAGGATGCTTCCAATTTTCGTAATGATGAAACAATTTGTCGGGTTTCCATAATTTAAATAAGCGATCCCATCGTGCAAAAATTCCCGAAGATATCATCACCTTGAGACGGTGCAAAGCATAGCTGTTACGAACAGGCTGCATCATCTGCCAGCCGCGGGTAGTAGTGGCAAAGGAGTTATCCTCACGCTGGAAAAATTTAATCCGGTTCGGATTATCGTTTAGGAATGGGAGAAGCGCGTCAATATTGTCTTTCGTGTCCATCAAGGCAACTTTACCACAAGTTTGTAACGTTCGTAGGTTTATCTTTTCCTCATAGGTGATTGGAAGTACCGGGGATTCGTGTAAAAAGCTTAGATTACCATAATTTGCACCCCTAGATTCAATGAGATATATGTCGGTCACATTTAGCAGGCGTTTTCCAAACTTACTTGATGAGAGTTGTCCGGAATTGAATACTCGCCTATTCAGGGTTTCAAAGAAATGCCAATATCTACTTTGGATATCATCGGTAATGGTAGGTTGATGCTCATACAGAAGATCAAATGGCATCAAAATCTGTATCTTATCAACTTCGAGTATGTTCTTCCATGAAGAGACGTACGTGATTGGAACAATCATTTCCATAGTGAACGACGTTTTATACCAATTCGTCAACACGGTTCCTACAAGAATTGTACAAATTGCGACAAGGGAGCGTATTCCAAACAAGTATTTCATAGACTTGTTTCCATCTAATCGCCCTGGCAATGAGTTTTCAAGACATATTCCAACAGCAAGGAGTGCACCGTCTGAAACCGTTTCGTCCAGCACGCTCGACAAAACTGTACTAAGCGTCAGTGCCATTACTATCAATAAAAGCCAGGTTAAATGGTCGAATGGGGAACTTAATGAGGAGAAAATTCCCGTAATTTTTGGCTTTACTTGATAGCAAGATACATAACTGAACTGACGAACGTCGTGGGGAATAAAAATTAAACTATGCCGGTTAAGGTTAAAACGACTAAGTTTCTTGATTACAGGAATGGCGAATGGCATAACGCCGTTCATATTTTTTTGTAAAATTATGTTGAATAACATCTTCTAACACCCAGTAACTCACGAACCCCTGAAGGGTATGTAAACTTGGGAGTAGGCTATACCACTTTCTCCAGGGAGGGATCGCTCCATGGTCTCGCGTACTGAATGAGTGATCAATCCTATGCAATGTATTATTTATAATTATATCAGCCCCCCAATAGTATTTGTTTCGCCGAGACACATCTCTACCCACGGATTCCAGTTGCATGGGACACTCGCTTGGCAGGCATTCTATAAAGTACCACTGCTGAGAATGGTCCCTTTCTATGCTGGGCCCTTCTATGTGATACACATTTAAGTAATGCATCCGTAGAAATAAGTCGTTTAAGGAGGTATTTGTTGCTACATTTTTATCCGTCCTAGTACTTATAATTAAAACTTCTTTTAGACCCAACCGACTGATTGCCAAATAACCTACCGTGCCAAAATACTCCGCGATACCTCTCCTTGGAACTGCAGTGATCCAAATACAAAACTGATTTTGCCAGGATGGATGTATAAAGTTTAATTAAGTCTGAGCGTTCAGCTTTCAAGTTCAATGTAGGTTCTGTTTCTGGAAAGATAGCGAAAGATGCCCAACAGTGGTTTGAAGGATTGCGTCTTGCCACCAAAGAAAATTTTGTTTCAATTATTTCCCCATTCTTGGAGTTGAATGTATATAAAATAAAGGGTACTTCTGCTTGGATAGGTTGACTGGCATTAACTGGATAAATGGCAATCAACGTACAATTTTTAAATACCTTGAAGTAATCGATAAGTTGAATGTGGTTATTTTCTAAGATGGTAGCAAGCTTGTGGGGGTCAATGGTAAGTGTAGGATCTAATGCATGCAGAAATACGTCAAGGATAACCCATGCGCGTAGAAGCTGCATTTTCGCGTAACCTTTCAATCCCATTTTATTCTCCAAGGAAGATTTTAAGGCAAAGCCTCTGTCGCTTGCTTGTTTTAGAAGAAAGTCATTTCCAACTAGGATGTAAAATTTGGATTATTTGGTGTCACTGTTATTTCAGCTTCATCAGGCGCAGTGGTTTGTGAGAAATATTGCGATTTTTAGTGGTCGGCTTACGTTTTTATTTGACTGTCACATTAAAACTGGGCCGTTTTTTATTTGGCTTTCATAACAAAACAAAACTTGGTTGTCTTTGAGTTGCTTTCATACTTGTTTTGAGTACCTTAAGAACTTTCATAACATCCCGATAAAACTAGTGGCAGGTAAACATTTCCTATTATAATGAATGGTTTGGAATACTTTGGATTCAACTTGAGCGTAATTCAACGAGTAATCAACACTCTGTGTCGCCAACTTTGTTTCTTTCAATTGTTTGTTTTTTTAAATACGTGGTGTAATCTTATAGAGCGATTGATTTGAGCAACAGTAATATTTAAAGTTTGTAACAATAGTTACAAAAGTGAAACATTATAAAAGCCGATTGCCTACTGAAGACATCCTTACCAGAACTGGTTGATTCGTTCCAACACACGCACATGTTTAAATTATAATGCACACTCTAAACAAAATTGAGTAAAAAAGAGGATGACACAACAGTCGAGGTAAAATTTGTCCAAAATTGAGTAAAATTTGCCCAACGTTGTGCGAACAAGGTGCATCATCATCATAATTTTACTCAATGTTGGACAAATTTTACCTCGACTGTTGTGTCATCCTCTTTTTCACTCAAGGTTGGGCAAATTTAGTACAACTTTTTTTTACAGTGCAGACATATGTACTTGTATCAACATACAAACACTTGTGAAATTCCCTTTAAAAAATTGCTACTGTCTGTTGGTTGGTTATTTATCAATGCAAGGACAGGACCACTATACATATATACGTGCATGGATACAATTTATCTATCTATTGTACAAGCTTGACAATTTATTCACCATTGAGTTCACTTACATATTATAATGCAAATTAAATTTAAACAAATTATGAACAAGGTTTGAAACAGATGGTACCAAAAGGCCACGAGGTTTCATCCTTTACAAAATCCCACACGACTTATGTACATACATCGTTATTTAATACATATAAACGGGTCCTTTCTTGTGATGAATTTACTCTGACAAAGTAATCGGGAGACGGTTAGCGTCAATAAATCCTTGAAATTTATCCCTCCCCTTGATCTAGATTTGAACCAGAGATCAGCAAAAGCACAAAATCAAGACTACCAAATTATTCATTAAGCTTACCAAAAATCCCGACATTTTAACCAACTTCACCTCCCTGCAGGTTAAAAGAATTGCTTTCACGGCATCCCCCGGGACCAAAACTGCTCCTACTTTTCCGCAAAGTCGAACTTCCGTTTGTGCTAAACCTAAACAAATCAAAATCGAAATTAGCAATCAATCCGGTATGGAGTCTTTGCTAACTCGCAAAATCTGTACTTTCGTAAAATAATTTTACGCAATACAAGAGACGCTATTGACCTGAGCAAGTGCAGACTAACTTTCCGTAAGCTAACTTTCCGTAGAAATGTTTGTGAAATTTTGTTAGTAAAAGTTTACAGAATTTACGGATTTTACAAGGTTACAACTCCTATTCTGACGATACATACCCTTACATCTCGCCAAACCCTGCATCGTGGCTAATACGACGCCCGAACTTTTCACGTTTTGCACCTCCACCAAGGCTGAGGTCAGCTCCCAGGGAAAAAATGTTAAAAATGCGTAAGGAAACCTTGCGCATTCGGGATAATTTGATGGGGTGGGAGAAAATAGGCATAGGCCCCGCCGCGCATCCTGACAGTAGTGGTGTACTAGATCCCATGATTTTTGGCCCAGTCATCACTGGTCCCGCCCATTCCGACTGTAATAAAGTAAAAGATATTACCCGGGCGCTGTAACTTGTCCCCGTCTGATACGCAAATTAGCTGTGTCTACAAAACAGTCAGTATAGAGGCTGCAACACAAAGAGTACACCGTCAAAATTTGTATGAGACGGGGACAAGTAATGACTCGCGGATAATACCAAACTAAGGTTGTTCTGACATGATATATGTTTGTGACTGCAGGGAAAGGGCTGTGCGTAAATTACGTAACGAAAAATTGCAAAGAACTACCTTGGCTGGTTTAAACGTGTGCAACATAGTTGGCTGGACCATATTTTCTCCCAAGTCAATTACATAATTTACGTACAACCCTTAAAATCAGCCCCATGTAGTTAACATACAGCCACGAAAATCTGCCGCATTTACGGTTAGGTAACTGGTGTTGTGCAAAGCTCGTAGCGCGGTGATAGCAGCCTGGCCCAGGCTTAACTGTAAAAATTAATATTTTCAGAATCTCCGTCCTATCGAATTAAGTACATGACGGAATCCATAATTAGAAATTTTGTAGGGAAAACCTGTCAGCATAGTCTGTTGGGTAGATGCCGACAGTGTACTGCCACGGAAGCATCCAAACCTTGATGAAAGAGTTCAAGTTTTTGGTTAGTTTGGTTTGTGCTAGTTATTTTCCAATTGTTTCCATGTATATTTAAAAATATATAATTTTTAAAAGTACACGACCCTAATTGCCACATAATTGCCAGGCATTTTCTATTAACTAATTTGACTGCTTCTAACTTCTTGTAAGAATTTAGATAGGTGACTGAACTAAGATTGCAGAGGTTATTATTTCAGTTCGCAATGTTTAGCTCAATGTACCAAACATGAAGGCAAAATTCCTGTTGGGATCGGAGCCCAAGCAGTCAGATCCATCGTTGATAGATCGTGTCTTGGTCCACAATCTGTCCTCCGTATGGGAGATTTCATACGCGTCAGGATTAACCATTGGGATTATGTGGATATCGATTTGCTGAAGGACGTCGAGGTACGTGGTGGTGTTGGTGATAAGTTCGTTGATTATCCAGGTTGCCGTCGCACCCGTCACCCATTCCCTCCCGTTGATGTTGGCATCTATGAGCACAGTTTTTTTTGGGTGCTCCGCCAGTCGAGAATTTAACGGCATGGAGGTCCAATCCGTTGTAGGAGTGGCCGATGAGAGAAACAGTCACGTACGGACTGTTGAGATTGTTCAGCCAAGTTTCAATCTACATTTTGGGTAAGTTGTAAATTTGAATTTTGGACAAATGCAAGTAGTGTAATTACAGGGCATGAATAAATTTGAAAATTGTAAAAATCGAAATATATATTTCATACGCTTAAAATTTAACCTTGAACACAACTAATTGCACGTTATCCAATAGTTTTCCTATTGGACTTTGCGTAGCAAAACTTGTTCATAAGTTGGAAAGATTTGAAACCTGGGGGCCATATTGGCCAATTGTTGTACCAAAATTAGGTGCAAAATAATAAGGAACCTTACTAACCTCGGCAAATCGTGGATATCTGTCCCAAGAGATGCGTCCGCTGCCAGCCTTCAGGTTAGCGATGCGTTCCTTCGACACCAAACTAATTTACAAATATTTGAAAAATAATTTCTCAAACGACGTTTAACGACTAGTTTGACTTATGTATATATGTAGATATGTACGTCTCGAAATCCGCAATCTTGATGATGTACTTCATTTTAGCGTTGTTTGAAATGGTGACGATGCCCTTGATTTGTTCGGGGGCAACCATAACATCAGTGTAACCAAGGACGGACGGGGTGGTCCAGAAGTCATAGTCACCACTGAGGTAGAGATCCCGCAAGAGTTCTAATTGACCTGGAGTGGTGGCCTCAATCGAGAAGACTTGGTAGCTGAGAAAGTTTAAATTGTAAAAATATTTCTAGATTTTCATTTAAGATAAAGTTGTTTTATAGCATATATAGTCTTTGCCAAAGATATGTATGTGAATATTTATAAGGATGATTATGTTTTATATTCTGGTCGCTGTGCAGCTGGAGCTTTTAGTGAAAAGGCAATACTTTGCCAAAGTTTTCCTAGTAAAGCTGAGGCCAAAGTCTGCTAACTCACTAATAAGCTACACTCGCACAGCACCTAACTAAATCACTTAGAGTACAGTCACACTCGATGTAAATTTTACCTATGCAAGTTTGTAAGTGAATAAACCGTTACAACGCATGTAACCAAGGGGTGAAAGGAGTGTCATACGTCAATGTGAATATCAAATTGTTCGAAAATTTGTTAAGATTGACACTTCTGACGTGTTTTCGACTTTTGTGTCTTATTTGTGTCAAATTTAACAGTTGATAACCCTTATGTGACCTTTATATGACCTCTGAGGTCAAAATGGAGGTCACCATTGAATTCGGGGTTAAATTTCAGTTGAAATTGAAATAGATATGTCCTATGACCTTTACATGACCTCTGAGGTCAAAATGGAGGTCACCATTGAATTTGACATTGAAAAATAGTTAAAAATGATGTGTCACATGCCAAAACTGACAAGTGACACTTTTTCGTCACTTTTCGTCACTGTGACGACGTCATCGTCACAGGTGACGATGTCCCAGTGTCCATCTTCGAACTCGTCCTGTCCATTGACGTTAGGAGTTTACGTTCAAAATTTCAAGTGTCTATGTCCTTTCGTTCAAAAGTTATCGGAGCTACGGACAGACGGACGGACGGACGGACGGACGGACGGACAGACATAACGATCTTATAAAGGGCTTTCACCCCTTAATAATTGCAAAGATTTTTGCATGTGTATTTAGATCAGACATAGTAAATAAATTGCACGTGGGTAACCTACTCATTGGACCTCCTAACTCAGTCTCCTTGGATTGGAGAACTGCGACAAGGGCATCGTGTACGACAAAGAATAATATCGAGGCCCCCATTTTGCGCAATGTTTCTCGTTTCGGGATCGACCGATGAGTGAGACGTCATTTGTCCAGGAGTAATAAATGATAAGCTTCAGTACGAATTTGCTTCTGTCGATATAGCTAATTATGTAAGCGACAATCGATATTGCCAATGATTGTAACATGGTTATGTAAAGATTTAAGTAGTTTGAGAGATAAGGCTGACATTGAGCAATTTTGATTGATGGATTAATTCAATTGGGAATATTATTTAGGGAGAAATTGTCTGCGTATGTATGCATGTATATATGAAAATAGAGATCATATGAGTAATAATTTAGTAAATGTTCTATTTAATTCTGGCAATTTACAGATGTAATCTTGTCTGTAACTCAACTATTATATGGCCCTTATCATAAAGTTCTCATCCGTGTAACATTCTAAATAGCTGGAGTCATTTCACCAAATTAAAGCGTATATATAGTACATATGTAAATGTCAATGCGAGATATTTAAATATGTGTTCGACAAGAGGGGAATCAAGAAATTCTTGTAATTATTTAAAACAAAAAATTTCAAAATACTTAATACGGTTTTATTGAATTGGTTTCTCTTTCAGAATCAGAAAGATTGCTTTACTACATTGTGCAACTTAATGTTTCTTAAATCTTATCAATCATATTTATAATTGGTGTGAATCAGAAAGTCATCGTGGTACAGTAATGATCAGGGTTAACCGAGACCAAATTTCGGGGAACTATTAAGGGACGTAGTTCAAACCACAAATATCTCTACAGATACTCCACCCCTTCAATTACCCACTTTTTGTAATTTCTTGATTTTTATAGTTTGACCGGTTTTCACAAATCTTGTCCAATTTGATTTCACCCATTTCGTAATATTCACTCGATTGAACTTCAAATATTCGAAGACTGCTAAACAAAGACAGACCGCTAAGCAGGTGAAGAGAAGAATGAAAACGGTTTGAATATTGTCACCAATTTGCACAGCTCGGACGGAGGTGGCATAACGATATTTTTCACCTCCCCAAAATTTGGCCTTTCTTTCCAGCAAAAATGTTTCATTAAGGGTAACCTGATCAGAAACCCGGGTGTAAATCCCGGAGTCCAAAAACATTCTAAAATACCACACCATCCGCGATTCTCGCCCAATATTGAAAGAAAATCCGATCGGCCGTTCAAAAATGGGTTTCTCCACGCGATACCATTTTTTAGAGGGATAATTTCTCCTCAGAAATTCGTAGTAAGTGTCAACCTCTCTGGATGGTCCGCCATAAGCGGATCTGTCACATTGCAAAATTTCATCTTCGATAAGACGATTAACTCCGACGTCATCGTTCGAAAGTTGTAATTTGTTTGGATACCACCGAATCCTTGGGTTCAACATGGAATATACCAAACGTAGCAAATGCTGTGGAAAATATTCTGATTCATAGGACACATCGCCAAAGAAGAATCGCGTAAATTTGTAGTATACAATATGGTGACTATTTTCAAAACCAGAGAATTGAGACAAAATTGTGTAGCAGAATGCTACCAAATGTGTCGAGATGGTAAAATTTGTAATGCTGTCCTGTGTAGCCCACCTCGACTCAACTCTCTGCTTTAAAGCGTCGTAATTCACAATTGGATTGGGTTTCTGCTGACACGAGATTTTTTCACAAGTATCGACCCGTTCCCCTGGAACGGGCGAGTTCAAATTGGTGATAAAGATACTCAAGTAACAATTACTAATCAGTAGTCCAACAAATAGCCATGGAATATTTAAGAACCTCAAGGGTAGAAAAGTGTTCAATTTGACGGGTAGTTTCCTCACCTCGTCGATCAAACAACCGAAAAAGTGTAAGAAAAGTGTAAAAGAGTAGAGTTTTTTGTTCCAAACGTAAAATCCCAGAGATACGAGGGAGGAAGATAAGATAAGGCTGATAAACGTTACGATCCACACGATAACGTCAAAAGGTGCTAAATAAAAGAAAAATGAGACATTGTGTGATGCAATGTAGCACGAAAAGAATGAGAACCCTGGAAAGTCTGTTATGACAATTTGATGATGACTTCCTCCCATAACAAAATTTTCGAGGCGGAACACCGGGTAGTTGCATGGTCCTGTATGAATGGAATGACAGCGAAAAATGTGAACGTAAGAATATCTGGTCGCATTAAGCCTTGTTAATGCTGTTGTGATTAAAATTTCTGATAATCTTTGGTTGTACTGAGCATGTGTGTTATCAATCCAATTGCTTTGCGGTAGTGACGGGTAGTTTGATGAGGTGAACATTACTACATCTATGGATGAGGTAGTGCAGGCAAAATTGTTCAGTATTGGGACAACCACTACACTTTTTTGGTAACACATTCGCACTTTATGGGCATTGACAAACAGTAAAACTGCAAATTTAACGGGCAATTGAATAAGAAAATCGACAGGTGATACGAATGCTCGTGACCCTGAGAAGAGTCCTTTTGACTTGACTGGAATTAAGAGGAAGTATAAATTGTCTGGATAAATGGTTTTCAGATTTAGCGCGAAGTAATGCTTCCTCATAGTTATAATCCAATAGCCTAGTTTTTTTGAGTGAGATTTTGAATAATTCGGTGAATTTATGGTGGCAAAAAGAACGATAATTTCGCAACGCCAACCTTCATTTCGAATGAGATCAAGTTTTACGGACCGTGTATCTTGTTTGTTGTCATCCGACAAGGTACGTTTCGTAAGTGTGAGGGATATGTCACGGGTAGTTGGTAAGTTCGAGGTAGAAATATTATTGAAGACGAGGTGATACCAACACAAGGATTCAGGTGTTAGGATAGATGTCAAATGCATGCTGTATGTTGCTACCGTGGGTTATACAAAACTTGAATTTACTGTGTTACATAAGAAGAGAAGAGTTACAGAGAAATTAATTGATTTAGTCATTGTGACAGTACGGAATTTTATAAAGTTTTTTTTAAGAAATGTTGCTTTAAGTATACACATTGGTGGTAAATGTTGAGGCTATTTAGTTTAGCCGTGGCATTTACGAGAATTGAGGATGCAGGTTATTACTTGGATGATAATGGTTTAGGATAATTTTTTGGATGATACATAATTATCTGGAGATGGCTACATACATAAATAATTGGATATTCAAATTAGTTTGTATCTCATGGTTATAAGAAGTGGCTCAAACACAATCACTCCGATGATAAAACAGTGCTTAGTTAGATTTTGAGTTTTATTATCATCATAATTCTTCTTCTCGATATGGGCTAAAGAATGGGGAAAATAAATCGATCAAATAGCAGGAAGTATTGTTGATTGCGGTATATACATGTACATATGTATGTATGAACACTATTAGTTCCTTGTTCTATACCCGTTTTATGGATGCATGTGTGTTCTTAATTGATGACGATTTTTTTATTTATTGGGTTAGAGGTTATTATTTGGATGGTAATTACTCGGAGATAATTATACAAATTATTATTTCGTTTGCATTTTCGTTTGCATTTTCGTTGCTTTTTCGTTTGCATGTAGAATTCCTTATTTTACACCGTTTTTATGGACGTACATAAACCATACATATTTTTTAAGTTGATTACGATTTTTTACTCGCTAATTTTTCCAGGGTGCTTTGGTGCTTAACCTCTATGATTGGAACGGATAACTATCTAAATTAACCAGAATGCGCACGTGTATGAATGGCGAATGACAATCCTTATCAGAACAATCCATACAGATTTGAGACACATGATTAACAATCACTCCTTGAAGCAAGAATATGTATGGGACATTGTTGAGGGTATAACACAGTTCGCAGGGGTTACTCGAGATCCCGACATAATCAAGCTCAGGCAGGCTTATCTGCAACCGACTATGTTTGGGCGGGGATAGACGATCCAAATAACACGCACTCCATGCGCAGTTCCTCCACATATTCTGATTTTCTGTAGCCGCACCTTATATGATATTTTCGTTCGGCTCATGAATTTCATTGTCTTCATGGTTTTCATAAATTTTGCCCAACTTGATTTCACCCAATTCACAAGATTTATCCGATTGAATTTCAAATACTCAAAGATTGCTAAACCCAGACAAGACGCTAGACAGGTGAAGAGCACAATGAAAACGGTTTGAATATTGTCGCTAAGCCGGACAACACGGAAAGACCGAAATTTCTCATCATCGCCCACCTTGGCCTCCCTTTCTCGGTTAATAGTATCATTTAGGGCAATCTGGTTAGAAGCCCGGGTGTAAATCCCCGAGTCCAAAAACATTCGAAAATACCAAACCATCTCGACCAACGTAGAATGCAAATCCGATCGCCCGTTCAAAAATAGTTTTCTCCCAGCGATACCATTTTTTTGAGGGATAATTTCTTCTCAGAAATTCGTAGTACGTGTTAATCTCACTGGATGGTCCGCCATAAGCGGATTTATCACATTGCAAAAGTTCCTCCATGATAAGCCGATTTACTTGGGCTCTATTGTTCCAAAATCTTAAATTCTTCGGATACCAACTAATCCTAGGGTTCATAATTAAATAAACTAAACGTTGTAAGTGTTGTGGAAATTTTTTCGATTCAGAGTAAAGAAGAAATGTGTAAACTTGTAGCTTAAAATGTGGTATATATTTATAAAACTATGGGTAAATTGCGACAGAATTGTGTAGCAGATTCCTCCCAACAGTGGATTTGCGATCCCGTCCCCTTGTGCGATCCACCTGAGGTCAAATCTTTCCCTTATCATACCGAAATTAACAACTTCTGCTAATAGTTTCTGCTCACACGGGATTTTGTCATGCGTATCTATTCGAATACCGGGAAGGGGGGAGTTTAGGTTAGTGATAAAAATACTGAGGTAACAATTACTTATTAACAGACCGACAAAAAGCCATGGAACACTTAAGATCCTTAAAGGCAGAGAAGTGTTCAGTTTCTTCGGTAGTTGGCTCACTTCGTCTATCAGGCAACCGAAAAAGTATAAGAAAAGTGCAATCAGGTAGAATTTTTTGTCCTGCTGATAAGATGCAAGAGCTACGAGGGAAGAAGATAAGAGTAGCATGATAATTGTGACGATCCACACGGTGGCGTCGTAAGGGGCTAAATACAAGGAAAACGAGACCCCGCTGGACACCAGGTAGCACGAAAGGAATGAAAACCCGGGAAAACCAGTTATGACAATCGTATTTCGAAATCTCCACCTAATAAAATTTTCAGGATTGAATGACGGGTAGTGACATGATTCTAGTACAACGAAATTACAGTCTAGATCACGCTGATAGGAATGCCCCGTCGCATTAAGTTTGACTAATGCTGTAGTAATTAAAATATCCGATAATTCTAATTTGTCTGGTGCATGTCTCATGTCAATCCAATTATTTTCAATTAGTGGCGGGTAGTTTGACGGGCTGTATGTTATTTCTTCTATTGATGCGATGCGATAGTACAGTCGAAATTGTTTAGGACTGGGACACTACCTACAATTTTTTCGTAACACAATTGCGCTTGCTTGCCAGTGAGAAATAGTAAAAGCGAAAATTTAACGGGTATTGGAACCAGAAGGTTAAAGGGTGGCGAGTACACTCTAAGCAAGTTGGTAGCAATAGCCTGAATTTAATTGCTACCAACCAATAGTAAAGGCTGTTCTTACTGAAATTGTGTTAAAATTGTCACCAACATTGACACAATTTTCATCTTTGGTTGCTACCGTAAAAATAAGTATGTTTGTAAATAAACTATGAGAAGTTTAATAAAATTCTGTAGCAAATCGACCCCGTATTGTAGCATTTCGATTCATTACCGGCCCTCGTAACGATTTTTCACAAAACTATTGTGTTACATTCTCACCATGTTCTGTCTGTCTCACACAAAGTAGTAACAGTCAAAGCGTGGATTTTAGTTTCGTTGGCGGTTACTCTGCTCTTTATAAAGCTGCAGAATGGAAAAATTAATTCGTGTTTCCAACTCCCTGAGGGGGAAAAAATTAATTGTTTTCAGTGGGGATTATTTAGGGTTCTTGGATTCAGGTAAGGCCAACGATTATAACAAAGTACAAAGTTTATTGTGTTTGAATATAAGTTTTAAAATTAAATTTCTAATTTTTAGTTAAAAGGAAGTTTGATGTTGCTGCAGATGTCGAAATCAATTTGTTCGACGATCAAGGTGCTGAAATTGAAGAGGAAGTGTTCCCTATTTTAATTCGACAACAGGACACGCCCAACATTGTGTTTACTCTTATTGGAGAAATACAAACTGAGCTTACTTTTGAGGAAAACGGAAGCATTAACTCTCCGATGATTAATTGTAAGCTATAATTCATATTATCAATAATTTCTATTTTTTTATTAACTAAACGAATTTCCCTTTTTGTATTTGTACGTTCACAAGGTCAAACTTCTCAAGTTAATTCACCTCCTCTTCTTTTGTCAACAATTGAAAAAATACAATTGAAAGTGGATTTAAGCAGGTAACTCACAATCCCCAAAACACAAATTTTACAAAAATATTATCAAATATTGAAAACAAATTAATATTGCGTCATTATATTTTTGTAGATATTTGAGGAATTTGTACAAAGTGACGAGGAATTACAACGTTTGGTCACTGACTGCAATGAAAAAACCTTTGTCGACACATCCACGGGGAATATTTTAATAAAATCATTTGTTAATAAATTAATTGAGCTAAAAGGGTAAGGACAGAATTATCTTATAGAATGAATTTTACATCCCGGACTGAATATTATTTCTTGCTTAATAGGAATTCACCGTCAACAGCTGACCAGAAATTACTTGCTCATACTGTAATTTCAATCTTACCTTGCTGGAAGTATGCAGCGTCAGAAAACGGAATTGTAAGTGTCAGAATATATAATTTAAACATTCCACGTTTATAATACCTAATGTCAAGAATTGTCACATTATTAGTCAGTTCTGCTGGTCTGGTAATTTATTTAAAAATTCTGGGCCACAAATTTTTACAATGATGGTTGGAAAAAAATATACACTCTAGAATTGGACAGTTTTGTAGGAAATTGGAACTAATTAGCCCTAATTAACAAACATCGTAGCAATTTAGTGAACATCATGAGCACAAATTTGTCCAGAATTTTAAAATCGATTCTCACAGCTGAAGAGTGATGAAAATTGTGCTGAATTTTAGTATTTGGGTGATGAGTCGTCGAGTCCTAGGTTAATTATTAACAATTTTTTTGTTACAGGATATACTTTATGATGAGGGTAACCGTTCCGGACTTATCCAAGCTCGGCTAAGAACAATACATCGCCATCTAAATGAAACGAAGCAGCCAAAATCAAAACGCGTTTGCAAAAATCAAAACGCTGTATCAAATTCGGATGTAGAAGAATCCTTTGTAGATAACGAAGAAATAACTTAATTCTACACCCATTAAAGATGAAGAAGAGTTGAAGAGACTGGCGTTGGAGACACTCGCTCACCGTAATTATTTACGGCTCAGAAGTGACTCATCCATTCTAAAAATTTACAGAAAATTCCAGGAATGGAAGTCTATGGTAATTTGATTTAATTACTTGAAAAATAACTAAAATAACTAAAAATATTTGACCTGATTTATAGATCAATTTTGAGTTTTCTCAACTCCACCCTGAGCAAAGCGATAACTTCTTAAAATCTTGGCCGACCTGGGTAGACAAAATATTACAAAGGGCCGGCAGTATCAAAAAGTCTCCTGCGCTTATAAGATTTCTTGCACAGGGCTGTGGTAAAATATTTATTTAAATAATAGAAATAAATACATTATTTTAATTTACCACAATCAATACATTAAAAATTTTATAGGGGAATGGGATTTTTCAATTGGTGCGCTGTTTACATTACTCCATTTGATTCCGCCAACAGCACAAGGACAAGGGAAGGCAAATCATTGTACTTTGGATGGTGCAAAAACAAAATTAATTAATTTCTTCAAGGTATTTTAGAACACCGAAATAAGCTTCTATATTTTTTGTGCATTTAATGCACATACATATTAAATAGGTCAGAATAGTTATCTTTGATTAAAAATATAATTTTGGTTATAGGCCGGGACTCCATTGCAATCTATCTTGGATACTTGGAAAGCCGAATTGAAGCAGCCAAATCTAGTTTGTTTAGGAGTTGATAAGAAAAATTTGTCAAGCTTTTTCATCGCATGTGACGGTCAGCTGCTTCCAATTGCATCCAAAAATTCCACCGAAGCTATTGACATTCTCTTCAAAAGCCATTATGTATTTGGGACGGAGTACGACATCAGTTTAAGGGGGCTATGGAAATTTATTCAAGTTTACATTTATGGATTGGAGACGGATGCCGAAAATCTGCCTCGTAATGTGAAACAGGTTTTTAACCAGCTTAATTAAGAGTACATATTTCAAAATGTTCAATTGCACCTTATGCAGTAAATTGATGTTAGATAGTGCTAGTTTAATTAAGCACGTTAAGTACATACATAATTTTAGTCATGTATGCTTTAAAGAGGTAATATGTCCGTTTAGTAATTGTTTGACTAAAATTAATTCCTGGAGTTATTTTTTAAGGCATACAAAATCTCATGACGTTAAATCTGTCGATACAATTACTCCAAATATACAACCAAACAACGGAGATAATAAAGAAATAATTAGTCCAAACAATTTTGATGATTTTGATTTTGCAAGTAATGCTTCAAATGAAATATCCGTAGATTTAGGAATTAAGGTGATGACAGTATCATTAACCAATTTTTGTTTCACTTTACTTGCAACTGGTGTCAGCAACTCCACATTAGATTTTATAGTTAAAGAGTTGAAATATTCAATGAATGATATTTTTAATTTGATTCTTAAAATTGGCGACAGTGCAATTCCATCAAATAATTTCGAGTCATTTCAAATACAAATATTTAGCTTACTTCAAGCATTTGATAAGGTCAAATCAGCTTATCAAAGGCAAAAGCTTTTTAAAGAAAACGACCATTTTGTTATGCCGAAAGAGTTGACTTTAGGAAATAGAGTTGAGCTTAGAAGTCACAATACAAAACGACTGCAAGTTATAGCTGAAGACACCTTTATGTACATCCCTTTGTTAAAAACTTTGGAAAAAATTGTGTCAATTCCTGAGTTTTCTAAATATTTTTATTATAAAAACAATGATTCAACAAGTTATTCATGTTTTCAAAATTCCAAATCTTATTTAACAAACGAGCTGTTTTCCAAATTCCCCAATTCTATTCAACTGCAATTATTTTATGACGACTTCGAGACCGTTAATCCTCTTGGATCGAAGCGAGGAATACATAAAATAGGGGCAATTTATTTTGTACTTCGGAATCTGCCCGACTTTATTAATTCCCAGCTCAGTCAGATTCACTTACTTGCTTTATTCTACTCTGAAGATGCAAAAAAATATGGGATAAATGGTATTTTAAATTTAATCATTCCTGATTTAAAACTTCTTGAAAGCCAAGGAATCGAAATAAATGGTACAGATAGATTTTTTGGAACTATTTCCACTGTTATTTTTGACAATTTGGGAGGAAATTCAATTTATGGGTTTCATGAGTCGTTCAATTCTAATTACTATTGTAGATTATGCTGCACGAGTAAGGATGAAGCCCAAATTAATTATAAGCATTGCGATATGGTATTAAGAAACAAGGTAAATTATGCCGAGCACCTTCAATGCAAAAGTTTTGGCGTTCAGAGACCATGCGCCTTAAATGATTTACAGTTTTTTAATTTTTTAGATTCGCCATCAGTGGACATAATGCATGATTTGCTTGAAGGTGTTGTTCCGTACGAAGTAAAACTCGTAGTTCAAAAACTTATATTTTTAAAATGTTTTGATTTAGAAAAAATTAACCAAAGAATTATTTCGTACGATTATGGTTACTTAGATTCGAAGAATCGCCCAAGTCCTATTAGATTAGACAATATTAGCAACAGAATTTGCCAAAAAGCTGCACAAGCTTGGTGCCTCATAAGACATCTTCCAATCATAATTGGCGACTTAATTGTAACACATGATGCTAAGAAATTTTGGGAATTAATTCTCTTGTTATTAGAAATTTTAAATATTGCATTTTGTAGAAACTTTTCTGAAGCAATTCTTTTTAAATTAGATTCTCTTATTATTACACATCATTCAAAATTTAAAGAATTATTTCCTGAAAATCGGTTGATTCCGAAGCACCATTTTATGTGTCACTACTCTTGAATCACACAAATCGCGAATCACACAAAAATTTTTAGGAATATTTGTTACACACTTTCCATGCGCCATCAGCAATATGCTGCAGTTATGTCAAAAAATATTGTACTAAACGAATTAAAAGTTGAGAATATTTTGAGTATTAAACTATGCCAATTTTCCAACCCATTTGATGCAATTGAACTCTTGAGAAAAGTTAATGGGTTTGAAAAATGTGATGAAGAAACAGACGTTTGCACGACAAATCAAATTTGGTTCAATAATTACAATTACAAACACAATTATATTGTATGTTTTGGTCACGACCCTGTGTTTCCAAAATTTGGAGTTATCGTTGAATTTCTAATTACAGATGAAAAAACATGTTATTTGCTGCTTAATAAATTAGAAGTACAATATTTTGATAGAAATTATTTTAGTTATAGAGTAAAGTTGAAACACGATGTTTATGAGTTATGTGATGTAACGAAATTAGAAATCCATGAATGCATGGAATTGATGCACAATTGTAATTCGGATGGAATATTTGTATCTGTAAGGCATCATATTTAAATATTAATATAGCTCGTTTTTTGGTATTATAAACTATTTTTTGTACAATTATATCAAATATGTATGTATGGCACAATGAAAATATATTAAAGTGTTCTATAATAAAATATATTATTTGTTACTAAAATTTGCTACCGTGGTTTTCTGTAATTCTTACCAATTTGTTACAATTTCATATAATATGGTAACGATAATGCTTCCAGATCAGTAGAAGTTTGCTAATTTCCGGTAGTGTTGATATAGCAAATGCGGATAAAAACTGCTACGACACGGTGAAGAAATTGACAAATTATGTACATTACTGCGTTAACAAAGCGGAGTGGATTTGCCACAATTTTATGTCAGATTGCTACCAAGCCAAATCAAGTCTTTCGTTACTATCCTGTAGCAAATTCTTACCATACCGGTGAGGTCATATATAGACACCGCCTGGTAGCGATTTTTTGACGATTTTGTTTTGAGTGTACACTCTCAACAGCGGGTAACACTTATAGAAACATTTTACCAACCAACTGTAACAAATTATTATCAGTTTCGGTCGTATTTTTATTACCTGAGTGTAGACAATCGCAAACTGGCAGGATTTATGTAGTTTCGATATTTACATATGTACATCATTGTACAACCTCAGTTGTCTGAAACCCTTTAGTGGTGCTTTATCACCAAAACGTTAGTAGAAATTCATAGTAAATATAAACATACCTACACCGGAGACAATACAATCTATTGCTAAAATTATGAGAGTGCACAAAAAATAACACTTCAAAAAGTATTTTTTTAACAAGGCAATTAACCAACCTTGGTACCAACATAGACGCGTAGAATGCATAATTTTACAAAATTTTCCAAAAAAAATCTGCTTCTAAGCTTATATAAGCTTGCGCACATGATTTTATTGTCTGAGATTCTGTAAAATTATTTTATAAAATCTATCATTAAACAAGTAATCAATGACTACGACGTGAATTGTTCCAATGTTAAGTGTATGTTTAAATTTATTTTCACATTTAGTTTCAGTATCTGTATCGGAGTAAAATGGATAACAAGGTCTTCCTGCCAATATCTTGCATCCTAGTTGCTGGATTATTAACAATGTCCATGGCAACAGCAAGCGTGGAAAATAATTCCTTGGTGAACGATCCGGAAATTGGTGATCCAAGCAACAAAGCAATAGATGAAATTCCCTTGTGCCGCTGGACAACTTGTGGTAACCCTTGGCCAAAATGCCACGAACCCAACGAATACGAGACAAACATAGCACGGTGCGGGTTTCTCAACCGGAAAAAGAGACGTTGTTGCAGAAATCGCTTCCCTCAATTTAATTAAAAAATCAATACAATCAATCAAAAATCCATACATATCATAATTGGAATATGTGGATTATATTATGCGCCATGTGGAATAAACAATATACAATACGCAATATACATAAATTACACTGTAATTTATATGCACCTACATATGTCGCATAACTTAGAATCATCGATAATCCTAAATATATTTATACTAGGTTGTACACAGTTTAGGACACGATTATTATTTGGATGGTAATTACTTAGAGGTAATTACATAAATAATTTGGATATTCAAATTAGTTTGCATCTCATAAGCTGATTAGAAAGTG